GGTGGTGGGTAGTATGTACAGGGAGAGGAGTGCGGAGTGTATGGTGGTGGGTAGTATGTACAGGGAGAGGAGTGCGGAGTGTATGGTGGTTTGTAGTATATACAGGGAGAGGAGTGCGGAGTGTATGGTGGTGGGTAGTATGTACAGGGAGAGGAGTGCGGAGTGTATGGTGGTGGGTAGTTACAGGGGGAGGAGTGCGGACTGTATGGTGGTGGGTAGTATGTACAGGGGGAGGAGTGCGGACTGTATGGTGGTGGGTAGTATGTGAAGGGAGAGGAGTGCGGAGTGTATGGCGGTGGGTAGTATGTGTAGGATGGTGTCAGTAGGTGGTGTCAGTAGTTCTTCATTTTTATTAGTATTATTTTTTTTTTTACAATTTTAGGATTTTTTTTAAACAAATTAATGTTTTATTTTTTTTATAATTTTTTTTTCAAAATGCTTTTGGGTGGCCAGTGGATGGTGTCAGTAGAGCAATGGTGTGGGTGTCAGAATTTTTTAATTTTTATTATCTAATTTTGAATTATTTTTTACAATTTATTTCTGTATTATTTTTTTCACAATGATTATGTGGGGGCAGTGGAATAGTGTCAGTAGAGAATGAACAGAAAGCACTAGTATATGTTGGGCTGTCATTAGATTGGGATGAACCTGTACCCCCTTATATCAGAAGGAAGGGAATGGATGGAGGGAAGGAAGGAAGAAAAGGGAGGGAGGGAATGGATGGAGGAAGGAAGGGAGAGAGGGAGGGAGGGAGAGAGAGAGGGGGGAGAGAGCGAGGGAGAGAGGGGGGGGGAGGAGAGGGAAAGGGGAGAGGGGAGAGGGGGGAGAGAGGGAGGGGGGAGAGAGAGGGAGGGGGAGAGAGAGAGGGGGAGGGATGGAGAGAGGGAGGGGTAGAGAGAGGGGGAGAGAGGGGGGGGAGAGAGGGGGATAGAGAGGAGAGGGAGGGAGAAAGAAAGGGGGGGGGAAAGGGAGAGAGAGAGAGGGGGGGAGAGAGAAAGAGAGAGATTGTACATTCAGAAGCATCACAGAGCTGCCGGCTGATCTGCACAGGGGAGGCAGAGCAGATCCTCTCTCCTCTGCTCTGCCGTGGAGGGTGGGGGAGGGGCTGGACACTGTCAGAGAAGACAAGGCTCAGAGACCTGCGAGGGAGGGGGAGGCTGAGGAGCACGGGGGGGGGGGGCCTAGGAGGGACAGCACCAATCTCCTGCATGGATTTCAGCAAGGCAGCTGGAAGCCTCTACCTCCCGTCACCCGACTCACTCTGCCACCACGTGAAGTGACAGGTGAGCTACTTCTGGGTTGGGATCTGAGACTGCCTCCTCCTCCGCTCCGCACATTGTCACTGGACAGTGATCCTCTCACGGGCTCCCTACTGACCCCGGGCCCTCGGGCAAAGCCCGAATACCCGAATGGTCAGTCCGCCCCTGAGAACGTACATATCCCTATTTAAATTGAAGAAAAAGAGAGGGGAAAAATGAACCAGAAAGCATAAAAAAACACACTGGAACATTCAAAAAAATGCATCAAAAACGCTCCGGAACATGCAAAAAATGCATCAAAAACGCGCCTGCAGAAACACACCTGGAACGCATCTGAACTGTGTTTCTATGGTGTGAACTGACCCTTAAGTAAACCCTATACAGTATATGAGCACTGTCAGTTAGCTTTTATCCTACTTTTTAGGTGCAGTCAAATATATTTAGGCTTAAGTGGGATACACATTGTGAGGAAATTGGATGAACAATCCTCTGATTTTCCAAACGGGTGTGTACCATAATGTAACTGATAATGGTATTAACTGTATGAAGATTCTTGAACGAAAAAGGCAAATATTCTTAATTGAGTACAATTTCTATGTTCTTGGCCACTTTCTTCTGGGGCGTTCTTTGTTTCTGATCATGAGTGTTTTCTTCTATTCCATTCGATTTCTGTACAATTACCGTACACAATGAGGGAAAATCAGACATTGTGTTCACAAATATTTGATTGATCGTTCCTTGTACAAAATTATTGTTACAATCTTCTTATAGTGTGTACCCAGCTTTAGGCCTTGACAATTTATCTGTTCATCTCCCACATAACAATAGTGTATAGCAGGGGCGGACTGACCATTTGGAAACTCGGGCTCAGTAGGGGGCCCCATGAGATGCCCCTGGTACCTTTTTCATAGGCTTTTTTGAGTTTGGGCAAGGACACAGGGGCCCCATGATCCCCTATTGCCCGGGGGGCCCATGAGTTGTCAGTCCACCCCTGGTGTATAGAAATAAAGCTCCTCTACAATTATTTGGGGAATTGATTCTATTGTGCTTATGGAAATAACTTTATATAATTTACTAGATGCATTATCCTTATTTTCTTCAGCAAAGGTTTTATTGCCTGTATGCAGGTTATTCAGACAAAAACAAACCAACAAAGGCTATTTCAAATAGCTCAAGTAAAAAATGTAGACATCAGCTAAACAAGGCATCAGAGATATATAGCCAATGATGGTACAAATAAAGACATACATGAAAAGCAACAAAAAACAGAATCACAAACTAAAGGCTGCCATATAGAAATCAGAACCAGAAACACAAAGTACTCAAGTAGGGACCCACGTGTAAATTGCAACAAAGAGTCTCCAGCAGAAAAAAATGGGGGAGACCAATTCTGTAAAGTGGGCAGCCTAAACTGAAATATACCTGTCCTCATTTTTTACAAGATGGGAGACATGGAAATCAAAATGGCAGATGTTTGGCCATTTGCCATAAAGAATTTTTTTATGCTTTCTATTCATAGAAGTTTCCATGGATCTTTTAGATTGGCTGTATGTATATTCCTGAGTGGTTTGCATTTTTTAGATATACCACTCTTTGTTACACTGTTGATGTATCCATGGAAAATTTTGTTCTTTTGCTAGCTTTTGTAATTTTGTTTTAGCGGAACTTCTTTTTGTTCTGTTGTCATTGCACTTTTTGTGCAATAATAGTTGATTCCTAAAAAAAGAGGATTGATGTCATCCTGTAATTCCGGAAAAGTACTGGTAAAATCAACCCCCAAATTAAAGGATTTACCTTCTCTTACCGAGGTACATTATTAAAGTGTTCTGGGCCTTTACTTTGGGAATATCAGATTTGCTTAATAAGTACCAGAAATAAAATGATCTTTCAGTTAAATAAGACAATAAAGCTTTTTCTAGCAAAAGAACACATTTGATATCTCCAGTGAGAGAAAAGATGCAAACATTCGCAGAACCTGTTCCGCTAGGCTGGCAGGTCTGGAAAAGTTGCTTCTTTTACTGTCCCTGCAGCTACATCACTATACTTACATTTTCGTTCCAAAAATGTAACGACAAACTACTCTCAAAATATTTTTTTCTTCATTTTTTTTATTGATTTAAATAAATGTTTTGAAAAAAAGCAAATCTTTTGTTGCACTTTTAGATACACTTGATGTTCCTTAAATAAATACATAAAGAAATAAATAAATAAATGCAAGGAGCAATAATCTTATAATGTACACTATTCCCTAGAGTGTAGGCTTTGCTTAGAAAACCCACTTATATTTCTTCATGACATATAGCATGGCATCTTTTAAATGTTGTTTGAAGTGCTATTGATCTATCTAGCATACAGGTTTTTGCTGAAGTCCAACAAGATAAACTACACTGTAATAATTCATAGAAGACAAATGCTTTGTACTTATATTAAGAACAGGACAGAGAGAGACTACATTGAATCTGATGCTGTGGTACAGCATAATGCATTTATTGCACATACCATGAATGTCACTTTTGTAAGCTGTCCTTTAGGAACATATTTTAAATTTGTGGTTACTTTAGAAGATGCTATAATAATATGGTATTGTAGAAACATATTGGCAATAAAGCGATGGATACTGTCAAACTGGAAAGTTAGACAGTAAAGGGTTTGACACTGTGGAGTTTATTTACTAAAACTGGAGAGTGCAAAATCTGGTGCAGTTCTCCATAGAAACCAATCAGCTTCTAGGTTTACTGCCAAAGCTTAACTGAACAAACTGAATTTAGAAGCTGATTAGCTACCATGCACAGCTGCACCAGATTCTGAGTGCTCCGGTTTTAGTAAATCTCTCCCTGTGGTAGCAAATGTCTTTGTAGATCAAGTGCAAATATTGGTCAACGTCAGTCACGTGGCTGGATCAGCACACAAAAGTTGCCACCATAAAAATATATCCATATCTGTAATATAGCCATATTTCAGAAACATGTAAACAATGCCAATATGCATTAACATTTTTTGATGTTTTATTTACAGTACAGTTATAATTTGCACCCAAGGCACTATAGCTCAGCGGTGTTAGATAATGCGTTTATGTGAAATCTCTATTAACAGATGTACATAATATTATAATTAGAAATATATTTTAGTTAGATTGAAATATACAGTATTTAACCTCCCTAGCGGTATGATTATGTCAGTATTTCTGTGCTCAAAGTGGTAAATTTTTTTGCATGGAAATATGTATTTTTTTTATTGTAGGCCTGCAATTTTTAGGAATAACTCACTGAAATCTGTCCGAACAAGAGTCTAGTAAACATCCCGGGTATGATAAAATTTGAAACACAAAATCATAAATTATAATATAATAAATAATCATAAAAAATAATAATATAATAATAAATGTAATTCAATAATATAATCAAACCAAAAACACTGAAATTTGAAATATAGCGCCAAGTTCGCACATCACTGAGCTTAGTCGCAAAATCTTTTTCAGTGTCTGATGATGAATTTTCCCGCGAATCATTATCACTCAATTCTGCAAGTAGTTCTAATTTACTATCGCTGTTTTCTAGCTGGTCTAAACCACTTTTGACCTAAAGGGACGTTTTTTTGGACGCCATGGACTTTTCTCAGTTTCAAGGCAGAAAGAACAGTAAAAATGCAGGCAGGGCACAGGACAAAGCACTAGGGACAAAATGTATGTGAAATGCTTTGATACAGTAATGTTTTACTATGTGATTTTAGTGTATTTAGTGAATGTCACTTTTTAACACTTTTAAATTTCCGGCCCCCGTACGTCCCGTATGTCCCAACGCTTGCAGGGACCAGAACGTGGAAGACAAAAGCCGGCATCGGCCGGAGGAGAAGGCCGGGGACGCTGTAGGGGGGACATCATGGGACCGCAGGACAAGGTAAGTGAAACAGGGAATCCCAGAGCAATGCTGCAGGGTAATCCCGAGTGTAGCTCGGGGCAGGGGCGCACTGACAACTCATGGGGCCCCTGGGCAATAGGGGATCATGGGGCCCCTGTGTCCTTGCCCAAACTCAAAAAAGCCTATGAAGAAGGTACCAGGGGCATCTTATAGGGCCCCCTACTGACCCCGGGCCCTCAGGCAGTGCCAGAGTTTCCAAATGGTCAGTCTGCCCCTGGCTCGAGGTTACTGCTTTTGGTATGGGAATACCGCCAGGGAGGTTAAACCATTTAGTGTTTTGCAGCATCAAAGTATTCCTACATTCCATACTGGTGTGCCTGTAAATAGTTTTCCACTGCAAAGGTTGGGTGTTTTGTTGTTCCTTATCACATCTCACATGAGTTGTTAACAGCAGCCTTCTTTGAATCCTTTAATCAGGCTGTGCCCAATATACATTTGCTAGGTTCAGTAACCAATTAGGGAGCATTATATTAGCCACAGTACAGAAAGGAGGAGGGGATATAATGCTTTGTCACCAAGCTGTTGGTCTCTTTGTGTGGGGACACACAGCAGCAAGCATGACAAGACCTGAAGTTGAGAGGTAAACTAACTTCATATAAAATTATAATATAAGAACGAGCGCTGGGATTGTGTGCAAGGAGCAGCTAGCATGAAAGGTAAAACCCCTGAACCTTCTAAAAAACATATTTACACGACATGCAGCGCTAAAAAAGATTCATAACACAGTAATGAAAAATGTCAGGGAGACACTAATGGTGTATCACAAAAACATCTCTGGGGTGGGTAACCCAAAATTGTGTAGTAAGTACCGTATATATATATATATGATATTAAGCAGGACAGAAAAGATTGATAAAGGTGTATATCGTGAAGTGACAGTCAATAGTAACTAATCAGTTGGCAGCGGTGACTTCGGTGGTGTGGTGAGTAAATGTAGATTGCACTAACCAGATAGCATATACAAAAGCGCATTTGAGTGTTTAGACCAACTCCTGGTCATCTGCATCTATGCATCTGGAACTCAGGATCATCTGGTGGGTATCAACAGGAATTACAGTGCACCATAGGGACTCCCAGGTAGCCGGAGTGCAATCAATAAACACCAGGGGGAGCCAACGCTTAGAGCTGTCATTAATGGTATCCTTGAAAGGGAGGGCTCATAACAAAATGAGCCCAAGCACAGAGATTTCCATAGTGCAAAATTGCTTTAATAAATGTTGAAGAATAACAGAATGCAAAAGGAAATACACTCACATGTGCAGCAATCAGTAGTAAAGTTGGCCGCCGGCCATGTAGGGAAAGCCACGTGGAAATGTCACTGAGGGCTACCTTCATACTTGTGTTGTGCATTGTATTGTAAATATGGTTTTGTGGGTAATTCGTAAATATTATATAAGTCAGGGGATTTCTACTGTACTGTGTGTTGTAAATACTGTTTAGCCTGTAAATTGTATATATTATGTAACTCTATCAATAAATGTATATTGCAGATGGAACTAACTATTTTGTGTGAGAACTCTGAGATCTAGCTGTGTACATATAAATACTCTTACAGTGATTAGGGTGTATTCACATATACACATAACCTACTTAACAGTGGTTAGCACTTCTGCCTTGAAGCACTGAATTGAAATTCAACCAAGACACTGTCTGCATGGAGTTTGCATGTTCGCTCTGTGATTGTGTGGGTTTCCTTCAATACGCCAAAAAAATGTTTTTAAAAATGTGCACAGCATATTCCCTTTTTAGTAGCAGATTCAATGATTATTCTGCATCAACCTCCAACCCAATATTAAGCCTGTGGGTAGCTTACTCTAGAAATTGCCTGAAAATAGACATCTCATTGAGGTCAATCTTTTGAGACCATGGTTTTTATACTATATTTCAAAGAACAATTAACTCTACAGATGGCTTTTTCTGTGATTTGCTTAGTACTTTATCAACACTTAGCCATCAATAAACCTGATTGAACATCCTTCTATGCAAACACCACAACACAGATAATTAAAGTCTGTAAGCAAAGTTACATTTTATTAAAATATCAAAATAATTGAATATAAATGCCCTTGTAAATTTTGTACTTAACCACTTCAATACCGGGCACTTTTACCCCCTTCCTGCCCAGGCAAATTTTCAGGTTTCAGTTCTCTCAAAATTTGAATGACAATTGCGCGGTTATGCAACCACTGTACCCAAACAAAATTTTTATAATTTTGTTCACACAACTAGAGCTTTCTTTTGGTGGTATTTACTCACCACTGGGGTTTCATTTTTTACTAAATTAACAAAAACTTTTTGAAAAAAAACAAGTTTTTCTTTGTTTCTTTTCTAAAAGTTTGCAAATAAATAATTGTTCTTCATAAATTTAGGCCAAGATGTATTCTGCTACATTTCTTTGCTGAAAATAACCCAAATCAGTATTTATTATTTGGTCTGTAGGAAAGTTATAAAGTTCACAAACTATGGTATATATCTGAAAATTGATCAATCCTGAAGTACTGACAGCCAATCTAATTTCCTGAGGCCCAAAAATGTCAGAACAGTACAGATATCCCCAAATTACCCCTTTTTGCAAAGTGGACAGTCCAACGTATTTCATAAGAGGCATGGCAAGTTTTTTGAAGTTGTAATTTTTTTGTTATTTTGTTTTTGGAAAATTAAAAAATGAAAAAAAAAATATTTTCACAAATTGTTTTTTACATACTGTCACCAATGCAGTACAGCGTCATCATATAACTAGTGTGGCAATGATCAGGGACACTGACTGGTGACAGTATGAAAAAAAAATGATATATTTTTTTTATTTTTTTTATTATTTTTTTATTTTTTATTACATTTGTTTCTCTTTTTTTATGATTTTTTCGTACTACACTATGACCAAAGTAGTATAATGTAATCATAGTAACATTGTACTACTTTGGGAAAGTGATCAGTATTTATTTTTCTACACAATTTGATTGCTTATAGCAAAGAATTTCTGTGCTATAAGCAGCATTGAACTGAATGAAACAGAATAAAATAAAAAGAAATTGCAAGTGGATAAGTAAAACAGTTTTGTCAGAAACTTACGAAGTCTCTTCTACTGAAAGACTCTACTTGCTTTCATGGTTGCACAAAAATCTCAAGACAAAGGATAGTTTTGAAAAATTAAACTTTTCCCTTACTTATGGTTTTGCACACAGAATATAGACATAGTGCTAACACTTTTCCTGGAGTCTTCCTTAACCTCCCTGGAGGTATTCCCGAGTGTAGCTCGGGGGAAAGTTTCAGCAACACAATTGGTAACCCTGAGCTACACTCAGCAATGCCTTGCAGAGTTGCTCTGGGATCTCTTCTTCACTTACCAAGTCCTGCACTCCCGCGATGTCCCTCCTGCAGTGTCCTTGGCAATGTCCCCCGGCCGATGCCGGCATCCGTCTTCAGGGTTCTGTTCCCTGCGACGTCGGGACGTACGGGGACGGAACGGCGGGAAATTTAAAAATGTTAAAAAGTGACATTCACTAAATACACTAAAATCACATAGTAAAACATTACTGTATCAAACCATTTCACATATATTTTGTCCCGAGTGCTTTGTCCTGTGCCCTGCCTGCATTTTTACTGTTCTTTCTGCCTGGAAACTGAGAAACGTCCATGGCATCCAAAAAGCGTTCCTTTAGGTCAAAAGCGGTTTTAGACCAGCTAGAGAACAGCGATAGTAAATCAGAACCACTTGCAGAATTGAGTGATAATGATTCGTGGGGAAATTCGTCATCAGACACTGAAAACGATTTTGCGACTTTGCTCAGTGATGTGCAGACTTGGCACTCTATTTCAAATTTCAGTGAATTTGGTTTAATTATATTATTGAATTACATTTATTATTATTATATTGTTATTTTTTTATGATTATTTATTATATTATAATTTATGATTTCGTGTTTCAAATTTTACCATACCTGGGATGTTTACTAGACTCTTGTTTGGACAGATTTCAGTGAGTTATTCTTAAGAATTACAATAAAAAAAAAAAGCTACATATTTCCATGCAAAAAAATGTACCACTTTGAGCACAGAAATACTGACATAATCAGACTGCTAGGGAGGCTACAGAATAGCTTCATCAAAATAGTTGAACACTACAAATATGCCCAGCAACTGCAAGACAATAAATACTGTGAGGAATGTAAAATATCCAGCACAGCTTACAGAGTGCAGATGTAATATACAGAATATACAGCCTAAGGGATGAACAGGACTAGGTTTGGACTGAGCTTTGGCTGTTCAGGTATTCAGATGAATGCCCAAACATTTGCTCATTCGACCTCCTCTTCGGCAGGTGCCAAGCATCATATATAGAAATGGTATTTCTACAACTTATAAATACTGTGTGACAGTTGCCCTCTGTCACTGATTCCTAAGAATGCAGTGGGTGCTTGCACCTGCTGTGTCCCTAGGTACAGTTGACATCATCAGGAATCTCTGCTGCATAAGCAAAGGGTCAGGGATAGCAGTTATATCACCTCCTAAATACAGTTGGGGGCAAAGATGTCATTGCTAACACCATCCCTTCCCTTATATAGCGACCACAGAGGTTTGATAGGTACCCCTCCCAATTCTGCTCAGATTGCCTAGGCAATCGGAGAGGAAGTTCCCCCCCCCCGAAGTTTTCTTGGAAATGTCACATGTTCTGAAAGACTGCGGGTCCATTCACAAAGCGCAGTGCAGCTCACACATGCATACTGGGCAGCCTGGGCAGCCAGATGTGAAGCTGAAAGCAGTATAGCCAGCTGCCCAAAGTTAGGATGCTGGCGGTGGGAACCCGAAGGCTAGTGAAGAACTAGCCTGGGTGAGAATGTTTGCTGAACCCCTAGGCAGGTAAGTATCCTTTTACTAAAGAATAAAGGTGGTGGCCATTTCTGTGGACACATATTCCTTCAGAGACTTTTACAGATTGGATTGATTCATGAACTTGAACTGTTTGTTTTAGCACTGTTATCTGTAGAGTTTTTTTTATGTTATTCACATTTTGGTATTCATTTGGATTATTTGTCACATGGCTTTTCTAGTTGCACTTTTATTGTAGTATTTGGTATTACATGTTGAACATTCATACTTTTTGTAGTGCTGTGTATCAGTCAAATTCTAGATTGCATTTCTTTATGATAGACCATCTCTTTATGATAAATTAGTTAAGGTAGAAATCCTCCCCATCACATGCTTGGATCATGACCAGTATTGATGTATTTAATGTCACCCTATGCAGTTTCTAGAAAGTGGGTCTGGTGGTTGAATACGTCTCTCTGAGATGATGAAGCAATTTTGGGGGAAGTCTGCACCATGCTGTAAAATTATTTTGCAGAATATGCTCAAAAGGAGGTATCTGAGAGTTTGTTATGGAAAGCTCAAAAGGTGGTAGCGCAAGATAAGCTTATCTCCCAGGGAGCCTTTCTCAACTGACAACTTCAATCTGACCTGAAAAAGTTACTTTCATAAATCTCTGAGATGGAACATCTTCACAAATGGTCCAAAGAGACCTCTATAAGGCAGAATTTGAAGCAGCTTTGAGCTGACTTAAAACAAAAGCTTTATTCTAAAGTTCAGCAAATATAAAACATTTTGGGCACACCAATTTTATGGATAGGGAAATACTTGCAGATATATGTTAGCATGGGTACTCCAAAAGAGAGTTAGCAGTCTCTAGAATCCATTCCTCATATCCCCTACAGGTGAGAAGGCATTTAAACCTTCTCAGATAGCTCAACCTTTTCAGAAATATTATTCAAATCTTTATAACCTCTGGGGAGGAGAGTAGGTAGATTAGCAGAATATGCTTAAGAAAATGTAACACTATTTAAAGGAAGTAGCTCTGGACCCCCAATATTTTAAAGCAAGGCATCACACCCACTGAGATTTTGGCCACATTTAAAATTATGAGATCTGGGAAAAGCCTGAGATCTGATGAGTTAATTTGTGCATATTGTGCGAAATATTCCGACATCCTCCATATGTGAATTTCTTCTTTAATTGTCTAATTGGAGGAAGTATGATTCCTGAAGGTGCCTAATTGACATATATTGCATTTTTACCAAAAAGACATAGGGATCAGGCCTATTGCCAAAGCTACCATAAAATTTATTTACAAAATATGGCCATTAAGATTTAGTTAAAATTATGGCGGACAGGCTAAAACCGTATGTAGCACACCCTTGGGTGTTACTTGGCTAAATATATAGGTTCAGCTCCCACCTGAATCTGGTGACACCTCCGATTATACGCAGAACACTTCGACACTCTGAGAATATTTTTTATGGGCTTTATTGAAAAAGACAAGCCCTGAAAAAGAACTAGCTGATTTAACACAGGGATCGTATATAAAACACAGATAGCACTTTGCATAACACAGTTAGTAAGAAGTCACTACTCACTCACCAAAGCCTCCAAGAAATGACTGGTATCACACATCCTAGGATGGCATAGGAGGGTGACACTGACACATGAAATAACAATAACTGTTAATGAGGTATATCAGCTGACTGACATTGGCTGTAGCAGTGCTATCTAAAGCAGAAATACTTTAAAGCAGCAATTCCACCTCAAAGAAACCAAATAAATTTCTTAGTGCTATAACTTAAATCAAGGAATGCGCTAAAACCACAAACTATTCCTAATTTAGTGTAGAAACATTAGTGCAAAAGATATATATATCTATTATCAATTAATATCAAAAAATATCAAAATTATGTGCAAAACATAAGTAATTTAAATAATTAAGTTTGTGAATATAAAAAAAACAAAAATGTCCAATTCTGAATTTCTTCAAATGTCCAAATAAATCCTTTCCAAATTCAGGTGCTCTCAAAGAAATTGTGCCAAAATCCACCACCAAAAGTAAAGTTGGGTAACTCACCAGAGCTCCATGCTGATCAATCTCTAGATCAGCAAAAAACGCTTTTTGCTCTGGGAGCAGATGCAATGAATCAACTTCTCAGGTGTGATGATGATCAATAGCTACACATTCATCCATAAGGTAGGTATCCACCACTCAATATAATGGTTCCAGGAGCATTATATCACTCTCTCTTTTTATATCTCTCCACCGAGGTCATGTTTGGGAATGAAAGAGAAAAATCATGGTGCAGCCAGTTTTTTTATAAAAGTATCCAACAATTTAATAAAGATTTACACTCACAAAAAGGGTGTCTTCACCGACACCAGTATAACAGCATAAAACAGCAAATGGTATAACAGTCTCCTGTTCCCCGTACACTCACTACAGCGCTCGTGACTTAATTTTCTCCACAAACGTCAGCATCCAGTAAGCCCTACTAGTTTCGTCATGAATGACGTCTTCAAGGGGCGGTCTGGATGCAGACGTCGGCTCCTCTCTAATATACCACCCGCACTCTGCATTGCTGAGCAGCTTAACCAATCACATTAACAACTCCATGAATATGCATCTCCAATTACAGAATGTTAAGGCGAAGCAGCACAATCTCCAAACAAGCTTCCAACCTCGTCTTACACCCTGCAATTTCTTTTTTACAAAAACATCCACAAATATCACAGGCCATATAACAGCATCAAAATACTAAAAAAGCAGCATAAAATGTTAACATCGTCCATTTAAAGGGCCATACCCACATTAAAGAAGAACTCTACAATCAAAATTTATATATATAAAAAAAACATACAATATGTGTAAAAAAATACATAAAATATCTCTAAAAAATACAAACCAAAAACTATACATAAAATGAAACAAGTAATCCTCCTTTATATATCAAAAAATTCCTTCACAATCCCCATATATCACAAATTCCGTTTTTTTTCTTTTTTCTTAACCCAAAGCATGTAGAATATCCAAGAAGTATTCTTTCAAAAGTTTGTCAAAAAACAGTTAAGATCAATATCTATATTCATACCTTTTGGTTTTAAACAGTCCAATTCATATATCCAATATGTTTCCTTCTTTGATATTTCTTTAATCATATCAGACCCCTTCCAATGCTCATTAATTTTTTCAATGCCATAAAAAATTGCTAAACTTGGGTCACTATTATGTTTTAATTTAAAATGCTTCGACACACTATGTTTTTCAAAACCTTTTTTTATATTATTTAAATGTTCTGCAATCCTCGTCTTCAAATGTCTCCCTGTTCTTCCTACGTATTGGAGGCGACACGGGCACTCCAAAACATAGATCACATGTGTTGAATTACATGAGATAAACGAGTCGATATTATATTCTTTGTTAGTTGTACTTGAGCAGAACTTTTTCTTACTTTTACTCAAAGCCTTATTCGCTGTTTTACATGCTTTACATTTTTTACAGTGAAAAAAACCTTTTAG